TTAAGGGTAAAGTGAGCCAACTAATTCTTTATTTTTACATTTTTTCTGTCAAAGTTAAATTTAATTAATGAAATCCTATTAAAATGTTAATTTATGTAAATGAATTTCTGCAGCAGCAGGATGTTCACATAACAACAAATACTAGAACGTTAGTTGAGGAACCTTCATGAAATCCGTTTGATAGCTTCATTTTTCTTCACATTTACATCATTAAAAACATCTTTTCTTGTAAAGGAAAAGCAAAGTCCCATCACTCGGTATAGTTTGTTGGTTGCACATCATTTTATAGAAAGTTTTAGCTCAAAAACATTCGAGTGTGACGTCGGCTGCTTATGTTGCACATAAAAACCATTTAAGATCACGTTAGCATGCTAAAAAACTAGAGTTTAACTAGAAGGAGAGGTTTTAACCTTTTACGAGGCAAGGAACCATATATGGTAACTTCTTCAAAAACGGCAGGGGGTAGAATCACGTGACTTCATCCGGCCAATCAGCAAAGTCACTGTGGCCTCTGGGATCTCGCAAAATTTTCTCAGGATCTCGTAAAACTTTCTCCGTATCTCGCCTATCTTTCTCGGGATCTCACAAAACTTTCTTCAGATCTCGCAAAACTGTCTCAGGATCTCAATCTCGTAAAACTTTCTCGGGATCTTGCAAAACTTTCTTGAGATCTCGCAAAACTTTCTCTGGATCTTGTCAAACTTTTTTGGGATCTCACAAAACTTGTGCAAAACTTTCTCGGGATCTCGCAAAACTATAGGTAACTCCAGTCCGGTAGGTGGTGGTAATGCACCTGGACGTTGGATGCCAACCGCCAAATCATTCAAAGAAGAAAAAAAAAAACAGAACTCTCGGGATCTATACTTCTGGGTCTTTTTGGCATTATGGAGAAACGACAATGGAGGACACCCTTTCTGTTTTGTTTTCTTTCTCCGTGTTCCTTCCGGGGCTCCGTACACCAACAACGTTCCAGCGTTGAAATTTTAAATGTCCGAGTATTTTAATGAACGCCCTATGAAGGGTTAAACCCCAACCGGGCGACCTGTCACAGAGCACCAGACCTACCTGGGTCTGCAGGGAAGTCCTCCACCAGCTTCCTGTGTGAGAAGGCCTTCTGCTGCTTCTTCCTCAGGATGACGAAGGCCACCAGGCCCACCAGGGCCACGGCCGCCGCCGTCCCCAGCACGGCGGCCCACGCGCCCTGCCTCGAGCTCCTGCCGGGATCCGACGCCAGGCCTTGGATAGAGGGAGGAGAGAGAGCGACGAATAATTAGTCAACAGCCAAATTATTTATATCAGCTGCCGTCTTTGAGGGCTAATCATCCTCCAATTACGGCTGAAGCGTGTTTTCTGCGGCGCCAGCACGCGTCCCAATTATTCAGAATTGTATAATTCACAGTAATTAATGCGATTAATGTGCCAGAATCAAGATAGTTTCTGGAGTGAATGTTTTAAGGGCAGCTTTCATCATTCAGACGAGGTGAGTGAAGCAGCTCTGGTTAAGTTTCTCTCTTACATGTCGGACTTTAAATATAGCGACGCGCTGACGAGGACAACACCTGTCACGGCAGCTGCACAGGTGTTAATTAGCTGAGTGGGTTTACAGCTTCTCCTTCACTCAGGCGGCTTTTCTTCTCGTTTGTTTTTCAAGACTTCTGAAAGTGACAGATTTGTCCTCAGAAAATACAACGTTTGGATTTTTATCGGGACCAAATAAATAATGCAGCGGCTCCGTTTATCTGCAAATGGCTCAATTTGCCGCCTCGCTCGGATCAATTCTGGCCCGAACCCGAGGCGGCCGCAGCCAAAAAGACGTTTTTCATCAAGTTTATTTTCCTTCAGCCGCATTTTCAAAGTTCACACGATGAAGAATCACCTTTAATTTTTGCTGTTTTTGCTCAAAACAAATGTGTAGAAACAGCCGAGGAGACGTTCATATTCAGTAAAAGGTGTAAATACGTGCTGATGGATGGATGTTACCTCAATTAAAATGTTTTTAATTCGATTGTCACATCGTCTTCAGGATGAATCTGACTTAGTTTCACCCCAAAGTTTATTTGCATTCAGCCCACATTTTGTTTTCTAGTCAGTTTTTATTTGACCGATGAGCTTCTTTTGGCTGCAAACGACATAAACAAGCGACACGATGTTGGAAATAATGAATTTTAAGAGTTTCTTTTAGTTTTATGTTGTTGTTTTATTTAATATTTCTACTCAGTGTTTCAGATCTTTGCTCAGAGTTTAGCGGGAAATCTTTTATTTGTGTAAAATTTGGAATTCGTCTCCACAAAATGACCTTCTGTGGCGACTAAACTGCATTTTTAATTCCATTTTTAAGGAGAAATGTGTTGTTTTTGTTGGGACGTGTCACTAATATGATTCTAATCAACATGATTTCTTGTTTATTTTATTGATCTACAGTTATTTATGAGATGAGGTTGGATTCACAGCTATGGCAACCCAGAAAATGGAGGGAAAGCTTCAAACATGGTGAAATTTTAACCCTAAACGGGACATTTTTCCAAATTTTATCCAAGTTATTTTGACGCCTGAACCAAAAGCAAGCTTCTAACATGTAAAGGAGTCTTAACAAAGCAGGACGTTTACCTTAAATCCAACCAGAAAGAGACAGAAAACCAAACTTAAACTCTGGTTTTCTGGAAAACTTTCAGACTAGACGCCTGTTCTGGTGAGAAAACACATTTTAATTCATTTTGTACGTCTCAGACAGTAGCTGAGCGTTTGAGGTTTTGAGGTTTTGAGGTTTTGAGGTTTAGTTGTAGAGTGAAGGGGTTTAGTTCTATCAGACGGGATCATCGGCGGCTCGCTGCCTTCTCTGGACGACTTATTCAGCTCCTGCTGCCTCTGCAGGGCTGCTGGAAGGACCAATCCCATCCTGGACAACATCTGTTTGAAGCTTCAGGTCCATCAAACCACAACCAAACACCTTTGACCCAAACAGCCACGAGAGAACTGACACTACACGAAGAGCCTACTGGCATTTCCTGCTACTTTCATTTTAGAGATTTTTTTGACTAATTTCAACGACAATGAATGAATTCTGTCCTCGTCGGGGTTGAAGGCTTCCTTGTGATACTCTGGGCTTCAGTTTCTCCAGTTTCTTGATGGACTCAGGTCTGTTTTCACCTCTTCTCCACCACGTCCAGATCTTTGTCTTGTTCTTCCTGCAGGCTGCCTCATGTTTCCCTTCACAGCCTTAATGTTGAACTTGAAGCATCACATGTCGGCCATGTTTGGGCTTGAATGCGTCGTCTACTGTCGTCTAATCCCACCACAGATCTGACCACCACGAACGTTCTTGTTTGAGCAGAAGCTGAGTCTTCGCTGGTCGGCGTTACACGACAACCAGAAGCGCTGACGTCCATCTGATGCTTCTCTTGGTGCTGAGTTTGTTTTCCTGCAGAACTTCTTGTACTCCTTCATTCTCCTGTGAACTGTGACCAGCGACTCTTGAAGACACTTGGAAGTGACTTTACAGCCTCTTTCGGTCTCGTGAGCAGCCGCAATGCATCACTGGTTTAACTCCTGCATCAGCTGCTCTTAGAGTGCAGTGATTTAAAAACGCTGGAACATGGTGGAGACGGCCAGAACCAGAACCAGAACCAGAGCTTTAAATGGGATAGAAGCTGCATTTGTGATGATTTCAAGGTGTATAAATGATCTTTGATTTGCACCAAAAATATTTTTAAAAATGCATCAAAAACATCTAAACACAATATCTGACTGTGTTTTGTCTTGTTTATGTCGTTTCATTCACGTAATAGTGAAAACTATCAGAACAGCCAAACTTTTTCCAAAAAAGTGATAATTTCAAGGTCTGTCAATAATCTTGCACATGAGATTTGCACCAAAGATGACTTAAAAAATGTACAAATAGTTAAATTTTGTCATTTAAAGTTTTCTTTTCTCGTGTTTTGTCACCTCTCATTTTGTTTATTTATTAGTAAAAACTACCAGAAACATTTTAAACGCTGTAAAAGCTGCGTTTTCTCAAAAATTTGTGATAGTTTCAGGCGTATAAAAAATCTTGGACATAAGATTTGCACCAGAAATCATTTTAAAAAGCATTAAAATAGTCTAAATTGATCACTAACATCTCTTATCTTTTGCCGCTTGTTTATGTAATTTCATTTATGTAATATTCAAAACTACCAGAACTGTTTCAAATGGTGTAAAAGCTGCATTTTTTCAAAAATTTGTGATAATTTCAAGGCGCATAAATAATCTCTGACATAAGATTTGCACCAAAAATCATAGAAATAGTCAGAATTTATCATTTAATTTTGTCTCTCTCATCTTCCGTCACTTGTTTTTGTCATTTCATGTAAAATAAACACATCAGTCGAGTAAAAATTCACCACATTTCTATTTTCTGTGTATTTATACGATCGTACGTTTGACACTTTGGGTGTATATTTTCACTTCAGTATATTTTGGGATATATTTTGGACTTTGTTGTTCATTTTATACTTGAGTACATATTTAATGGATATTTTTGCTCGTTTATTCGTCTTGTGGTGTCGCTGCTTTATTCTTCCTGCTCGCTGTATTCTGTTCTTTAAATCTAAATTTGGCTGATCAGTTTTTTCATTTAGTGCCTTTATTCATACCTGCAGCACTAATGACACGTCCAGCTTGTGTTGAGTTTAACTGCTGCTAACGAACCTCCTAAAGCTCCTGACTCGTTAGCCTCAGGTGGAGCCGGTTAGCATTTAGCTGCAGGATCCGTCTGAGGTCGAGCACCTGAAGCTCGCGGCTATTTTTATTTACTGGCGTCAGTATTTATAGGCTCTATATTTATCTGCAGCAGCCACTCGCTGCCGTTGTGCCGTTTCTGGTGCCCACGCTGGGCCTGTCGTGATAAGTGTGGAGCGGTTCTTTATTTGTTGTTGTTGGTTTGGGTTTTTTTTTTGGTCCCTCCTGTTTACTGCCGTCATCTGTTAGCGTTACGTCCTGCTGTCACATCTGTCCAACGCTTTTATTTTAATCCAGACTCTGCAGCAGCTCTCCAAAGACCTCGTTCTGCAGCGTTTGCCTGCATAGATTTGTGCAAGAAAAGCATCTTTTTCTGTCTCCAGCAGACAGATATGAAGTGATCCCCACGTCCCAGTCTCACGCCCTGCAAACATCCAGCGCCGCCGCCGCCACCGACCTCGGCCCGTCGGCCCATCGGCCCGTCGGCTTCTCTCTCTCGAGTGTTTTTCTTTTTTTTCTTTTTCTTTTTGCGGCTGAAACAGAGTCTCATTGTGCCGGCGAGAAGGTGGCTGTAATAAAACCCCGCGCTCGCATCGATAGCGAGTGAAACCCAAGCCGACCTTTGCCTGTGAAAGAGGGTTTGTCCTCCGTCAGTGGGAAAACAGAAGCAGGTGAATGTGGGTCAGGGAAAGGGCGTAAAGCAGGAACACGAGGCGGTGATATAACTGTGGAGTCACAGAGCAGGTCGACCAGATTTAACGAGCTGCTTCGTTTGGTTAAGTTCATCCAGACTGGGTTAACGAGCCACGTTAATGTGACTGGTTTGAGTTGGATGAACTTTTTCTGCAGCTTCATTCTGAACTAATTCCATCTGAATCCATCTGAATCCATCGGCCTCCTCCTGCTCCACCACCTCAGAGCTGCTCGAAACTTTTAAATCATAAACTAAAGATGTTTAAAACGTCGTCCGTTAAATTCTAGATTGAAATACGAAACACTTGAAGAGATCATTTTCTTCTGAAAGTTACCCGGCTGTCGACCCGTTTATGGTTTTTGTAGCTAAAATTAGCTTCCTTCATGTTGATCTGGTCGTCCATCGGATCGGAGAGGTTTATCAGAATTAACTTTATGAGTAATAATAAGGCAACTGGTTTAAGTTAGACCTGCTTGGACCAGTTGATTCCCCTCAAATGTGCATTTATGTTGAGTTTTTCTAACTCAACTTGCTTTAAAACGTGGTTTCATCATAGAACTTGTTTCCTTTTCTTTACTCCGTAATAGGAAATCTGTGGTTGTGTCGCAGCAGAACACAAAGCGTTAACGTCCTGGCTTCAGACGCAAGATGCTAAAGGAGCAATTAAGCTAATTTTTGCACTTTCCCTGCCATTAGAACCCCAGTTTAAAGGGACAAAGAGCCATTCTTAGCTGATAGAAACCACAAGAAGCAACTTTCTTCACCAAAACAATCGAAAAAATGCTTCAGCTGCAGCTTGAATACACTTTTTATGATGTATTTTAAACTCCAATGTGGTATTTTGGGCTTGTTTTGGTGCCTTAAACCAAGAAATTTGTCAGTCCTTTCAGGTATTTCTCTATCAAAGGGTTGTAAATAGTTTTCTGGACACAACAACAAACACCTGCTGCAGCTTTACCTCTCTTTGAGCCGCCTCCTGAGCCTCCACTTTTGTCCGTGCCGTTGGACTTGTCGGTCTTGGTTGGAGCAGCAGCGGTGGTGGCGTTGGCAGGGATGTCGGGAGTCGCAGTAGTTGTGTTTGCAGGTACTTCAGGGGTCGCAGTAGTTGTGTTCGCAGTAGTTGTATTTACCTCAGGGGTCGCGGTAGTTGCGTTAGCAGTTGCGTTGACATCGGCGGTAGTCGGGCTCATCTCGGACGTCTCAAGAGGAACTTCTGTCGCGGATGAGTTGGTCGTGGACGTCCGGTTTGTCTCCGGCGTCGATGCAGCGGTTGCGTTGCTGCTTCCTGTGCTGTTATCTAAACCTTCACCTGCTGCCTCCGTGGTGGAGTTTCGCGCGGTGCTGACCTTCGGAGCCGAGGTCCTCGGCTGCACGTCTGGAAACCCGGTGGAGTTCTGCGGTGAGTCGAACTCGGCCTCCGTCGCGTTGCTGTGGCTCGAGTTCGTGGACTTTGGATGAACGCTGGGTTTTGGGTGTTTGTTCTTCTTTTTGTGGCCGCCGTGGAAGACGTGAGGCGCCGCGGTCGTGACGAAGCTCGAGTCGTCGGACGTCCCGTTGGCGTTCGTATCTCTTCCGGTGAGGTTCTGCTCCTCTTCGCTGTTCACCGCCATGGAGCCGGACGCGATCCCGCTGTAGTCCGCCGCGTCGCCGCCGTCGGCGTTCTCCGACTCCTCCGTGGGAACGCCGAGGTTCTCTTTGGGCAGCTTGCGCCACCAGCTCTTGTCGATGGTGCGTCCTGGAGAGTCGGTGGAGTTCTGCAGAGACCCCAGCTGGAAGGTCTGGACCAGCAGGAGAAGGACCGCTGCGGTTCTGAGAAGTTTCATTTTAGCTTCGATTTAAGATCTGGAACACGAGAGAGAAAACACAGCGTTACAGAACTACTACTAGTAAGAATAATGAGAAGGGGTAGAGTCACCTCTGATAAGAGTTCTTCAGAAGTTAGATCTCACTAATAAGTCAAAGCTCCTGGTCCTGCTCGACACATTTGGTTCACCTTTAGGACGTCTTTCCTACGTTGTCGTAAAAGTTTTCATCACCGGTTTAAAGATCAAGTTGCTCCAAAGGGTCAAAGAAATCAAGTAAACAGAAACCAAATTGCTAATTTTGCTGTTCTAGTCAACAAACGCTGTTGGTCGGAGGTCATTAGGAGCTAAATCCCCATAATGCTCTCTGCTGCCACACAAACGGTAAATAATGTCCATGTTAACAATCTGTATTTTTGCGAATACAGTCGTGACTCGATAATCCGACACTAAATGTAAAAATAAACAATGTTTATGTCGGATTGTCCAGACGGAGGTCCAGATACGAGGAGGGCTTGATGCTGGAAGGATCATTAGTTGTTAATATTTATTGTTCATAGTTGTTATAATAACTAGTGTGTTGTTAGAACACTACGCATCGCTGGACTTCAGCCTAACTGACCGGTACGTTTGTGCACGGGCCGTCGGGCCATTTGGGTCCCTTCAGTTGCTGTCTGACTATATTGACCTTTGATGTCAGCCGACAGCCCGTGAAAATCATCAGAAAACATCGTTATTCTGCAGATATTTGCTGTTGTTTCTCCATTTTTAGTTTCTTTGCGCCTCACTCGTGCTACGTTTTTAACTTTTTGTGCAGACGTAGTTCGAACCAACCAAACATATTGACAACAACAAGCCTCATAATGAGCTGAAGCTGCATCAGATTGGATCCATTTATCGGCTAATTGAGGTCAAAGCAACTTAAAATAAAAGATGAGCATCAAGTCCTTGTCCAGCTGGAATAATTCTGAGCTCTTCCTGTTTCATGGAGACTCACTTTCTGTTTTGTTAACTTTCACACCTTCACTGTTTGTTGCTGAATGTCAGCGTCTGACATTTTCTCTCTTTGACGTCTGTGTTTGTCGAATTGTAAAGACGAGAAAAGCTCTTTCTGAATTCCAATAAAAGCTTCGTTTTATTTTTTAGAGGGGGATTATTTTCCTCCTCTAACTGAAAACTCTTTCCACCGCCTGCCCGGAATAAGAAAAACCTCTCACAGGTGTTCAGTTCGTGTTCGAATCTTCTGTCGTAACAGAAGAGCTGATCTCTGAGGCCGAGCTCAGTTCAACACGGATCCACGACTCTCTGACGCCGTTCGTTCACCGAGTGCATCGAGTCCCCCCCTCGGCGCCGTCGCTCCGTCCGTCGCCTGCAGGAAGCTCTTTGTTCTGCTGGTTATAATCAGTGTTGGGTTCACAGCCTGCAGCTACCCAGCATGCAACATGCAAATCATGGCGGCGTCACATTTCTGGTTCTACCTGCTCCCACAACGACCTGCTTCCATTTTAACAATTTAACTCACAGGAACTGGAGGCGCGTTCACTGTCTGACCCAGAAACAGAACCAGAACCAGAAAAACAGAAAGAGTCCGATTCCAAACCTTTAAATTACTCGTCTGGTTGGAGCTGTTCTGTCAGGATGATTAAGACTGAGAGAAACTTTGCCAAAAACAAACCGTTTATACAGATTCTGTAAAAAACAAGATAAAACTGAATATTCTGCATTTATCTACACAACCATGAATCCATCAGTGACTCGGTTGTGAACATTTTTAAACAAATATTCAACATTTAAAACATTTATTTGAGCCAGAAACAGAAGAATTATCTGATTTTTTTTACTTTTTTTAACTGGTACGAGCTGTTCTTTTGGAATAATTCACCAAATATAAGATTAAAATTTTAGTAATTTATTAAAATTGAGGAAAAACCAAAAATAAACGGTTTGCATCACATAGATTATGTAAAAGCAATCTAAATATTCTGCAATTTTCAACACAATTAAGAAGTGACTCAGTTGTGAACAGATATTTAGCCTGATGGTTAAATTTCACATCTGAATTTAAAACGATTAATTTTCTTTCGACCATTTGAACCCCAAAACCCACCGGGAGGGTATCTTTGAAAATAATTTTTTTTTAAAATTTTTGAAAAATTACAAAATTAAAAAATTTATTTGAGGCAGAAACTGTAAAAACAGAAATAATTGTCAGATTTTCTACTTTCCGACAGTCCTTGAACCACTCATCTGGTACAAGCCGTTCTTTTGGGAAAATTAACCAAATATAAGCTTTAAATTGTAGTAATTTATTAAATTCGAGAAAACTTTGCCAAAAACAAACCATTTGCAATAAAAAACTAAATATTCTGCTTTTTTTTTTTTACACAATCCTGAAGCCATGATTAACACATGTTCAGAATTACAATTATAAACTGACCAGAAAATAAAGCAAAATGGAAAATTTATCGAAACTAATTTTAAAATCGTGACGTCGTTAAAAAACAAAAAAGTTAAATTTATCAAGTAAAAATTTATTTAAAAATAAAGTTTTAGAAGCAACCAGATTCTGTAAAAAACGAAAAATTCTGCGCTTTTCTGCACAACCGTGAAGCCACGACTGATGCAGCTGCGACTGACGGTCACATGACTAAAATTCAGAGACTTCGGTTGAACTGCAGGAAGTGTTTACACAGAGCAGAGAGGAGACGAGTTTAAAATGTAAAATATCCACAATATGAAGGATTCCCCTTTATTTATCCACAGTCAGTAACACCTGGAGACAGCTGGGAAACTGTTAAAATTTTTGTAAACTAAATAATCACAGAACTTCTTTTTTTTTTTTCATTTTTTTAGGATTTCTGGCACCAAAAACTGTATAATACTGTAAAGGAGATATATTTTTAGGCCTCGCCACATGTAGTCCTGGTTGTTCTGTTTGAGGTAATAAATGAACCGACAGTGAATAAAAATGAGACGGGACAGGAACTGCTTTGAGTTTAAAGTGTTTAACTCGACCAGATGTAGTCAAAGAGCAGCTGTTCAGATGTCTCGTGTCACTTCAGCTGCATTTTGGGAAAAGTCTTGATTTAAACATTAAAAATAGGAACTTAAATGAAGTTTTCTGGCAACTTTTCCTGCGTCTGAATCATGAAATAAATAAAAACCTGAGTTTGCAGTGATTTAACGAACGCCGAGGTTCATTTACAGTCGACCCTGTTCGTCATCCACCTGCCGGCTTTCTGTGTTTTGGTTTTTCTGCTCAGTGGGAACGACATTTCAGAACCTGTGGGTTGTTTTCTGCAGCGTCGAGGATCAATCCGGCTGCCGATCACACGGCTCGGGAAGCGTTTCGCTGCAGCAGGATGTGGGCGAACGGTTTGGAAATAATAAACCGGAGTTATGAAGGGAAGAGCTGATTTATTTCAGTGGTGAAACGGAAGCTCGTCTCTGAACAGAGAGTCGGCCTCGGGGTTCAGATACACAGAGGACTCGATTTCTTTCAACTCTCTGAGTATTTATTTTTTTAAAAATCACCAAATTAAAACCTTTGTTTGAGGCAGAAACTGTAAAAACAGAAAAAACGCAGGATTTCTACCGTCCTGATGCTCGGTTTGGAGTCTGAAATGCTCATATTTCATGTAAATCTTTGGCATGAACCAGATTCTGTAAAAAACAAAAAATTCTGCGCTCTTTGGTGAAGCCGTGAAGCCGTGACTGGTTCAGCTGTGATCAACAGTCACCTCGCAAAAATTCTGGGATTTTTTTTGGCTGAACTGCAGGAAGTGTTTAAACAAAGCAGAGAGGAGGCGGATTAAAATGTAAACGTGGAAGTGGTTCAGTCCAGCAGGATGTGAGCGACAGCTTCAGACTTCTGACAATGAAAATAATCAACCAGAGCTTTTAAATGAGCCGTCAGATGAAAGATGTTTTAACCTGAGGGTTTAAACACACCTGAGTTTAAAATGATTGATTTTCTTTCAACTCTATGA